TCTTAGCTCCTTCACCACGTAACAGACACGACTACAGTACCAAAAGCTAGTGGCTACCAACTGTTTAGGTCTTCCTTAGAAGCTAGCAAAAGCGACAGAACCGAATAAACTCACCTTAACTCGAAGAAATTGATGAAATAAATCCATTGTACTCGAGCACTAAACTGACTGTCGATAGCCACATCAATTACCCGCATGACCTCTGCCCCCTTGCTTTAGCTCACATCGATCAAAATAAGTGTTCTGAAAATGAAAGACTTGTGGGTAACAAAAAAATCCATAAACTGAGGAACTATCAATGTAAGATTTCTTCCCACACTCCCTTCTGGGCTTTTCTTACGCTACAATATTTTCTCCGGGGACGAAAATAACCCTTACGTTTCACATTCCCAACAGACGGCTTCTCTTCCTCCTCTTCATTTCTTTCAAGATCGCCAACTCCCATGTTTTCAGTCTTCTCTACAGCAACGTCCCCCTTCCTACTCAAAACGCTTCGCGGACAGTGACTCATTCTTAATTCTAAACTGCTCCCCCATACTTAAAGCTCTCCATACCTACCTGATCTTCATGTTTATAATTAACAGTTCTCACAAACACTTACTCAGCCAGTCCCTATACCTAACAATAGAATAACGAAGCAACACGAAAGCAATAAATTCAAATAACTACTTTAAAACCTAAAACACAGGTTTTAAGGCGCCTACCGGGCACGAGTAGAAGCAGCGATGAGACACAGCACCAAACAATAGCACCAACTCCAACCATGAAAAATGCAACAATGAAAGCTTGAAGTCCAATGACCCCTTTTATAGCCTCATCCCAGCTCGCTCGGACGGTCGACCGCAGCGCTCCGCGAGCTTTCCCTCAGGGGACTACAGTAAGCTGAAATCATTTTCCTACAATGTTTTTCCTGAGCGGTCGCGCCAAGCTATTAATGATCAACTTGAGGTTTTTTTGGAAAAGAAGCAGAAGTTTCGCTGAGAACAAAATAGTAAAACTTTGTTTCCAGTTGTTCAGAATTTTTGCAAAAAAAAAAAAAA